ATTTTGTATTATGCTTGAGGGTAAATAATTGAGTTTCCGTGATCTTGACTTTGTCCCTGTCTCTTATACACATCTAGATGTGTATAAGAGACAGGAGTAAATGGCGCCACTAAACGAAGCTAAAGTTTTGCGACTTAATCCACCAAATGCAGCTAAAGTTTTGCGACTTAATCACCTGATTCTGGACTGTGTGGTTAGTAAATTCCATAGCCATACTGTCCAAAGCGCACACTAACCTATTTGCTGATGGAGCATTTTTGGGAAATTGACTCCTTTTTTCCATCCCAAACAAAATATTATTAATAAGTCAACATGGTCCATCTCAGTCATCATAGCTAGTCACAAAAGGTTGTTTTCAACAACAGACACACACACAAAACAGAACGGAGTGCGTCAAAACGAGTGTTTGTTAATTTTTAGTGATAAAGAATTACGAAACGTCGTAGAATAACTAACTATTTTCGTCCACTGTGGCAAAGAAGAAAACGACAGATAGTCCTTTAAGGTGGGTTATTTTCACAAAAACGAGATGCAATAATGAAAAAAATGATTATTGTTGTTCATTTTCAATTTTTTCCTATTCTTCTTTCTTCCTATGCTTCTTCCATATTTTCGTTTAAATTTAATTTGTTATACTAAATACATATTTACGCATATTTCAGATGGTAGTGTTAGTATATACGCAGGCCTGCACTTGACTATAATTTCTTAATATACTACAAATTCAACTAATTTAATAAAAGTACAATTCAAAAATATTACTCAATGTATAAATGTTTAATTACTATTTCATTTACAGACATTCCAAATGTACCTTCAAACTCTGGAGAAGGATATAGTAAAGGTAATAAATATGTAATATTTATCAATTAAAATCAATCAACTTTTTATTTTTCTACCTAAACATGTTACATAAATTTTAAGTTATATGCCGCTATTTTTTCATGGTTCTGGGTTAATTTCATTGGGTTTTATTTTACAATATTGCTCTGCTTAAATGTAGGGTTAAAATAGTGCATGTTATTTTATCATAATGATATAATATCATATATTATATATTTTTTACTTAAAGGCATTGGTGGAAAAGCCATTCAAAAAATGCAAAAGACAATCGTCTGTCTCTAAATATATACACAAGATTAATCCGATCTATTGTTTTTCGAAACTACTTTATGGTTATTTGATAAAAAAGTCTACTAGAATTTATGCTGTAGGCAAACTGTAGTAATAAAAGTCACCAACTACAGTACATTCATGAAATATTGCACTTTTACCTGCGCGCAGACTTCGTAGATACATCGTAGCCTGATATAAACAATCTAACCTGCGCGCAGGCTTCGTAGCCTGATATAAACAATCTAAGCAAGGCTACGCGAAGCGAACCTACGAAGCAAAAGCATGTTGTTTATTTGTATGTGCAGAAAGACTGCTGCAGCTTACTGGAATAAACAATGTATTGTTTGATAATTTGTGAATGGCAAACACGAGTTCAGACCGTTAATTTAAAGTATGGAACTGTTTTTCAATAAGAAAAACGTACACTTGACTTCATGGGAGTCTCCTCTTCCACTCGTTGTCCACCTAGCCTAGGCCTAGCTTATTTTTCATTTACAATTATTTTACCTCATTTAAAATGTCAATTGTCCTCAATGGCAATACACACATGTGAAAAGATTGTTCATCAAATGATATTTTGTAGTCTTGATTTAGTAAGATAAATAATAAATATAAAGGAGAATTAACGTCCGTAGGTTGTAAAATTACCGAATGTCACATGGAAAACCCAATAATTTGTACATGATTTGTCATCAATATTATTTAAAAGAAGAAAATTCCTACTACCAGAAGAATAATATCAGATCAAAATTCTCCGAATTGGAATGTTTACCAGTATAACTACTGTCTGCTCTCCTCCTCTATAGGGGAAAATGTCTAAGCCTAAATGACATCGAAATTTGAACATACTGAATGCCCACTAGGTTACCCACCCAGCTAGCGAACTAAACACAGTTTTAAAACATGATCGATTTAATAATAAGGTAGGATATAACAAAACAATAAAGTTCTAACATTGTTTATTTAGTAAATTGCAACATTGCTTACGCGTTGAAAGCTGGTAAACTATATTTCAATATTGTTTACGCATTGATTATCAGCCCGACGATCCAGCCTACGATCATTGCAAAGCTAATTAAAATAACAATGACCTTCGTAGTGGTTCGTAGCTACGTTCCGAACGGTGCCTACGAGCAGGCTACGAGTGGTTACGCGCAGATACGAAGCGATATTTCCTGACTGTACTGTACAATAATAATTCATCATGCACAAAAAATTATATTTCCATCTTATGTACAGTACATTCATAATTCTGTGTTACAATATTTTCAATAATACCAATAACACATGCAACATTATTATTATTATTATTAAGAGTACAAACATTTTTAGTTCTTCTTTTCATTCAACGTTTTAAACTTTATTTAATGAATTTGTTTTATATTTTATAATGAAAATTAAACAATGTGTAACAAGAAATTAATCTAACAGACGAACAACATATTATCTTGATTACAATACTGTACATTGTGGTTATTGTGTCAAATCACAATAGAAAATTAAGAACTTGTGCCAAAAAAACATTAAAATACATCACAAAACGGTTCAAACACCACACACACATGCACACACCCACACACACGTGGGCCCTTTGTGGCCCCTTGGCCCCAGTGCCTGGCTCGGGGCCCTTCGGCCCCTTCATTACGCCACTAATCCTTTGTAGTTCACATTTACAATTTGAGCATTCCCCTCCCCCCAAATGAAAAATCCTATGCTTGACGTACCTTTTGCAGAACCTGCCTCTACTACTGACTACTTGGAGAGTAATGAATGTGGCAGTATCTCATTGCCTGTGTACCAAATTCCAGTTTCCTTAAAAATTAAAATATCTTGTATCTTGTACTACTGTAGCCTCGCCTGTGAATCCTTTTATATACGGTATATTACTACTTTGGCTATATTTGAATTATAATCATTTTATCTTCTATTTAAAGGAAGTGGGGGAAAAAAATCCTTTTATATACGGTATATTATTACTTTGGCTATGTTTGAATAATATATTTCATTTTATCTTCTATTTAAAGGAAGTGGTGGAAAAAAAAAACAAAAGCGAATAAGACCATCCTCTGATTCTGAAGGTAGGTGCAAATAAATCTAATATGCTTTTCAACTCCTATTAAGGGGCGTGTTTGAGCTGTGAGTGTCCCTGGATCAAAATATTCCTATTTGTCCAGATACTAATCCAAAATCATGAATATTTTTCCTAAATAGATATTTTGGCATGGAGTGAAATCTTATGTTGTGAGTTCTCAGACAAGGACATCATCTTCATCTACAGCCTGTTTACATACCACTGCTGGGCAAATTCCTCTCCCAAATCATTCCATCGGTTTGTGCTTGTGGTGTATTTTGTCCATGTTGTTGATTGTACCAGCTCATTGCCATTCAGTTGTTAATCGGCCCATCTATCGTCCTTTCTCCTTGCAAAATGTCTGGCCCATCTGCATTTGGTTCTTTTTGCAGTGATTATTGTCATTTACCCTCATTTATTCTCTAATCCATCTGTTTGTTTTCCTGTAGATTCAGATGTAATCTATCATCATTCTCTCTACTTCTTTGTGTTGTTTGATGCTTTCGTTCCATTTGTTCAGTTAGTGTCCAGGTTTCACCGCCGTACATCATGGCTGTTAGTATGCAGTGGTTGGTATTTTTGGTTCCATCGTGATGTTCATGTTCTTGCTGAAAAATTCCTATCATGCTTGTGCTCTTCTTGTTAATTAGCCCACTCTCTGAGAGAGGGCTTATATGATGATTCTGAGCGAATTTTGAAGTCATTTGTTTTTCTATCTCTTCCTTCGTTTGTGACGCGATTAGGCCAATCTTGCAATAATTTGGAAGATAAGGCTTGGGAATTTAAAGTATGAAGAGTTTTTTGCGAAAATATTGTCGGGAAATATGTGAAAAGTATGTTTTTTTTTATCATATTTCTTAACACTATGGTGGGTTTCCTATGAAAGCGTGTTCGTCATTGATCAGATTGCAAATCGCCTGATTCCACATTGTGTTTATCAACCAATCACGTCCTGGAATCGTAAGCTTTGCGGCTAATAAATGCGTCTGCACGAGTCTAGTTGGCAGCGAAGAATGAGCCGTTTTGTGGTGCTTGCAAGGGTGGGTGGTCTCTCTCCTGAGAGATAAACAATGTACACTACTGTAATGCAGGCTGGCCTAGAGCTAGAGGAAGATGAACTAGGCCTATAGGCTGGCTGGGTAGTACGTGTGTGTAATAGATCAGATAACAGGAAATGTAGGCTACAAGTTGCTTTTATGTGTATTTAAACCACATAATATTCAAATTAGTTAGTAGCGATGAGTGTATTGTGCAGCACCGTTCTATTGAGACGGTAGCTTTTCAGCGTTGCTTTAGGATGATTTTCCTTTACATTTATGAATATTTGAACTTTTCGTACTCTACACTACAACCTACAACCACATTGGCCTAGGTACGTAATATATTAGATCAGATGTTAATTACATAAAATGTAGGCCGACAGTCGTATTTAATGGGGGCGGAGTGGATTTCTTTTTTCGCGATTTACCATGGGATGGCAACTGTCATCGTTATCTAGACTTGTAGACGCAGTTGTCCATATGGTAATGATGAAGATCGTTATTGACTGATGAGGCATGATTAAAAGTGCCTTTCATTTTCAATGGATCACATTCCATTCCAACGATGGTATAACCAGTCAATGGATAGCCCAGTAATGA